AATGAATCCAAGTACATACAATGTAAACAATCCTTTGGGTAATGTATTCCTCAACAAGTGTTCTTTAATCTGTCCCCTTCTCCAATCATTACATGAGAATACTTTGATGTTATTTTGCAGATGCACGTACTACATTCATACATGAAATCCCTTCGTAAGATGATCACGATACGACTGAAGAACTTACATCAAAGCTACTAACACAATATCACTGACATCGCAATTCCAACCGATTCCAGAAATGTATAGCCATGAGTCTCTGACCACCACAAGACAGCACAAAATCAGTACAACAAAGTCCAGCAGTTGATAACAAACAATGATGTTAATGTCAGAAAATCAGCTGCCACACCAACTTTCAGGGCAAGCAACGAATCTGGTCCAAAAAATGATTAAAACAATAATAGAAGTCACAAAATCTTTCCAGTAAGCACAAGGCAAGTCTATGAATCGATCTAAAAACTTCTAAAAATGGTCCTGAACCATGCTTTCCATGTTAATGTCAGAAAATCTTCAACATAATCAACTGCCATCCAAAGTTTCAATGCAAGCCTTCAAATCGATCTGAAAACTTCTAAAAATGGTCCTGATCCATGCTTTCCAGAGTGGCTTTGGATGACTGTGATGTCTTCGATGACACAAGGCACGCCACACAGGTAGTCGGTGATTAATTGGAGGGAATACTTTAGATGTGCCGCGCCACCGATCCCTTCCTGACGCGAGTCCCAGGGAGTGGATTTACGATCAAGATGGGCGTAGACTATCGCCTAGTTAATCCCAGAGGGCATTAGAGAGGTGTAGTAATGCCCCCGTGATCAAGCCCCCATGCCACAAAAGGCTTGGAGTCTGCTTAGTTGTGAGAATGGGCAACTGACAGCTGATTGAAAGTCTTAAGACCTCCACAACCCACATGAAACAAAAGCACTCATTAAAACTTAACTTGCACACAAGTATATCTGTAGATTAATAAATCTATCAATATTAAACATACACTTTTCCCCTTTTTCACTTCCAACTGATACATTTCCAACATATTAATGACTTGACAAGTATACAGCTTGAACATAATCTACAGATATATACATCTACAATTTTTTGTCAACATATATGTTTAGAACTAAATAGGCCTTTGAGTAAGGTAAAAGAAATAATTGCAAAGTATACAAATAGCAACCTATATCTACAGTAACACTTATCTTTTACTATAGCCTTTGAATTATGATTATTCAGCTAGTTATATGTACAACAAATATGCTAATTTCAATTAATACATTTAAGTCTATCTTTTTCAATAAACAGCTGCAATTCTACAGGAAATAAAAAGCATTTGATGTAAAGCATAAACTACAGACACAAATCCTTTCAGCTTGGAAATAGATTATATGATTGAAATACTAAAAAAAACACATATAAGATTAAAAGTCCTTTAATTATCACACTTTTAATTAATTGTAAATGAGCAAAGAGCCTATTACACATTCTTCACCTACTTTGTTAATTTGTTTGTTTTTCAAAACAAAATTACTGAATAAAATCCATAACTCTGTGATGGTTCATTGAATAATCAAAATGGAAATTGGATGTTTCACTTCATCACAAAGAGCTGGTAGAACAATAATATTTGCACTATTGCAATGAAAAAAATACCAACATATTAAGGTTATTAAATCCATTACGTTACGGTTGAACTATAAAGCTAAATACTATTAAATTTGACATACCGGTACTAATTTTTCTTAAATAAGTTTTGTAATGTTGTATAGCATTGTTTGAATTTGGGTGAAAATAATGTATTGTTGGCCCAGTAACATAAAAAAGGAGCTACATAAATATAGTGTATCAAAACTACTCTTTTATCAGGATTTTACTATAAACCCTTTTATTTACCTACAAATTGGGCACTAGCTTCTTCAAAGGTCATAAACAAGAAAGATTAAATATAAATATCTTAATTGATTAGCAGATTTTGACATGGTAAACATGTACATATACTGTACATGTAAATGATAGAGAGGCTGACAACTGCATTTCATGCAGTCCCACTGAATATGTTCTGTGTATTGCAGATCACACTAGATTTACATCAACACACATACTTATCTAAAGGTATAACATGCACACTAGCATGCCAGAATATGAAAATATGAGGCTAAGGGGGGAGACAGGGACTACAACATAACAACAAGAAGTGACAAGAAATGAATAAACAAACAGTGATATGATGCCATGACGATGCTTTGAGGTATGGGAGTTGAACTTCGCTAACTTCTGCACAATGTTAGTTGATATCTATTTCACTATTTGATGGTATAGGAGATGTACATGTAGATGATATAGGCATTGAAATACAAACTGTTAAAGCTTTGAGTCCTATCCAAAGGACTTGTGAACAATAAGAATCATCAATGTACCCTCTTTCCCATGACAACAAATTGTAACATTGTGTAGTTTGAAAAAAGAAAATCACATCATTTGAAATTCGGGTATACAGGAGAATGATGAGAATTATCATGTAAAGATTTGAAAAATAATAGAGAAATATCACATGTAGGAAGGGCTTAAACAAATATTTTGGTCATATTAAAAGACATTAGAGTCGCTTGAAAGATTTGTTGGATGGAAAAGTGGAAGGTACTAGAACGAGGGGGAAGCCAAGAACCCACTGGGAGGAAAACATAAAAACCCTGGGCCCATTGCACAAAACTTACCATTGATGGTAACTTTGCCATCAATGGTACGTAACTACCATGGAAACCTTGATTTTGATTGGCTGTTGAGCCCTCTTACCATGGTAGTTGCCATTTGATGGCAAACTTACCATCAATGGTAAGTTTTGAGCAATGGGGGCCTGGAGTGGAATGACACTGCAAGTGTACTAGGATGGCAGATAACAGAGATGCGTGGAAAAATGTTGCAATCAACCTCTGAGCTGGGAGAAGATACAAGGACAGGTAGATAGTAGTCTCCGTCCCTCCTTAATACTTTCCTATCATCTCTGACCAAGAGGTACGGGCTAACAAGCTAAAGAGAAACAAAATCACTGCCAAGTTTGCAAACTTCAAGCTGAAATCTCATGTTACCGATCAAGAATTACAAGGGGGGTTTAAAGAGGGAAGAGAGCGCGAGGGTTCGGTCAGATAGCGACGGGTCGCAAGGAAATTAGGAGTTCCTGTGGGCGGTCAATTAGCCACTGCATATGACACTCTGTAAGAAGGATCCCAAGAGATATTGAACAATAATTAGGACACCCAGTCTAGGAGTGTATTCACATTGAGGTGGAGGAGTGTTTGGTTCAACGTTTCACAGAGGACTTCTGCCTAACCCTTTAAGAACTCAACGCCTCTATATTCTATATACTGCCTTATGTAAAGGTACATGTACGTATCAATGAACAATAAAATGGATGCAGTTTAGGCGTATGCACATACATACATAAACAGGACCAAAGTTTGATGAGGATAATGTTTCAATCCACTTGTATCCATAAGACTACAGCTCAACCCTTCGAGAACAGAATTATTCAAACTGTTTAATTATTTGTACCCATGACTAATGATTTGGCCATCCAATGAAGGAACACCTTCAAACAGGAATTAAATTCTGTTTGGTGTAATGTTTCAAGAGCTTTTAGCTTTTAACATGAGACTCTTTGTATTGTATAGACTTCTATAGCGAAGAAATCTAGGATGAATACTTCTTACACTCGATTCAAGCAAATAATTTGTAATGTCCATTCAAAAGTGGTGGTCTACACAAAAGCTTTGCTAAACCATTTGGCTCAAGATTCTGCCAAGTATGAATGCAGTCTCTAGACTTCAGTGACCAACCGGAAGTCCTTGGTAAAAGATGCTCTGTTTATTTTGGGTGAACCTTGCACAAGGTGGGTGCTTTAAATGCAGACTGATGATTGAGATGATCAAGTAAGAACCTTCCCCTACAAATAGAGACTATGACCAATCATGAAAGTCAGTCTATTACCTTCAAGAGTGACCTACCATAGCTTTATGTAGTGTGGGAATGTTTTGGAGAAGCTATACATCTTTTCTACATTTTGGGGACCTAATTGAAGTGCAGTCATTGTTTCCTCGTGAATGAGGGTTATAAATGAAAGAAGAAAATACAAAATACCGGTAACTAGTCAAAATGAATTAGAATTTGTTGATGTAATGACAAAGCATAAATGACAGGTGGAGGGGGAATCACTATAATAACCAACCACTCGTTTCTGAGCTAAATCTATCTACAGTATTCATTTAATACTGAAATTACATGAGAACTTGCACAGGTGGTGACTCTCCTCTGCATGGGGCCTCCATTTAACGCCCTACCCAAAGGACAGAGTTTTAACACATAACACAGGCTTCGGTCATCTGCCTGGGTGGGATTCGAACCCACAACTATTGGTTTGACAGGTAGATGTATTACAGACTGAGACAACTTGCCTCCTCACTGTATTTCAATGACATAGCTTTTACCATCTCTAGCTCATGACAGAAAACAAAAAAATGATCATGACGATGAATGATCAATTATCTGCATTTGTAAAATGAAATAAGCCAAAATTGTGGTGACATTTTGTGAATTGATGATGGGTACACATAAAGGTGATTTGATTTTTATCAAAATGATTTCCATAGCATAATGCATTGAAGCTTTGCGTGAATATTCTTCATAGCTCGACATGTTTGATATCAAAAGTAGATTTCATTTTAGCTGCGACTTGAGTGAAAAACTTGGGAATTTAGAATATTCATACACAAAAGTAGACCAGGGTGTTCAGATACGGGAGATAGGTTCAAGAAATACTGTACATAAGTAAACTCTATTGAATGATGAAAATCATATTCATATGTGAATGTCTATTTAATAAAAGAAGAAGAGCTATGGATATATACATGTGCAGAAGTTAGCATGTTCAATGTATGCCTGGGAAGGAAACGAATGAATGCTACAAAAAAACAAAAAAAAAATCATACATGGAAAAAGCAACGTTTCTTTACCTCGATGTGACAACCAATGTTATCAATCTGAAACAGGCAAAACAAAGTGATACACAGTGTGACACACGGGCAGGCAAATGGGGTGTAGAAGGGTAGACATAAGGGGTACACATGGGGTTAGAACAGGTACGGGTAGGGGTTAGGGGTTATCACATAGGTATTGTGTAACAAGGGGGGGGGGGGTAAGGGGGGTCACATGGGGTACAAGAAGGGGGTGAAACAGATTTGGGGGATGGGGTTATTATACCGGTAATGTGTCATAAGGATGTGAAACAAGGGGGCACAAAGGATTCAGGAAGGGGGTGAAACAGAGGTAATGGCCACCAGTAGGGGCCGGGTTAGAATTGGTAATACAGTATGTCATAAAGGGGGGCACAAGGGGTACAGGGGAGGGGGTTAATGTATAACATGGAGGTGCATGGGGTACATAAAAAGGGGTGCGTGGGGTACAAGAAAAGGGGTGAAACAGGGGTTATAGCCACCAGTAGGGGCAGGGTTAGAGTTGGTGATAGGGCAGGCATGTGGAATAATGGAAAGAGAAAGGTAGAGATAAAAATGATCATCTGTTATCAACTCCAAACTGGCAGAAATTACGGTTGTACGACACTTGCTCCATGATACTTCCTACAATACCTGAAGTCCAAACTTCAACCTAACGCTTCACTTACCCTAAACGGTTACCCTACACTTTTGACAAAAATAAGCCCAGAGCAAGTTTTGCAGGAGCAAATGTCGGAACACTGAAATTAGATCTGCTACGAAATTCAAGCATATAGTTTACATTTGAGTGACTTTTAAGTATTTCATAAGTATGTCACTAACAAGACAAGTTAGTTATGAGTTATCTGCTCTACAAAGAAAGAAAAAGTCTATTATTTTTCCCATTCAACTACTGCAATTTTTTTGTCTAATACCTTTACCTGTAACTTTTATAGATTTCATATCAATTTATGTCTCCATAAGAATAAAGATATATTGAAGCTAGGCTACAAGCACAAGCACCATTAAAAGCACTATACTACCGAACACACTAAATAAGAATACACCAAACTTACATTTTGGATTAAAAGATGTTTTACAACAACAACTGTCTTGTTATAAAAATAAAAACCTACATAAAAAAGCTCACCTGAAAGAATGATTGCCAAAATAAAGCAAGAAAAAAAAAGCTGCCTTCTACTTTATAATTGTACATAATTATGTACATATACTTCTATTTCATTGTGTTCACTATAGACCTATAAATCCATCTGATCATGCAAGGAAATCATAAAAGTTTTAGTTTTGCTAGTGCTCAAGTAGTATTTTCATTCTAGTTAGAGCCTTGATTTTATTTTGTTTCATACAACAGAAAATTAAATCAAATATTTTTTAAAGCAATTTTTTAAATATTTTATTCATGCTATTTTCAAATTGCCATACATGTACTTACACGTGTATGAAACTGATGTTTACTACTTTGTTTGTTTGTTTGTTTGTTTGTTTATTTGTTTATTTGTTTACCTCAAGCCAATTGAGTACAGGACCGCAGTTGATCATATCCCCAGCGATCTGTGAGAACCGAGTCACGTAGTGGGTCAGCATTGTTTTGACAGCCTGGTACAAAAGAAAAAAAGTCAGAAAATGTAATCAATTTATTGTCGTGAAAATTGGCTACATTTTTGTAAGTGATGATCTTAAAAATGCACAGAACTGGGTTTTCATGGGGAATTGACACCATTCTGGTATTAAACAACACTTTGGACTGAGTTATATTCTTGCTTATACAGCTCCTATTCTCCCTTTTATATATATTTCTTCCTATAAAGTGCATAAAGATAGGCACTGTATTGTTATTATAATTCATTATCATTATTAACATCATTATAAAGTTTAAATAAAGAAAAGCCATTTTGTGTTGTATATGGAGCATAGAGATATCTCTGTCTTTGATTTTACATTCAATAAGATGAGGTAGATAAATCCAAATTCTCCAATATAAATAATGCCTCATCACATCTTAAACTAGTTAGGTCAAAATTTTATTGATTATGGTAATTACATTATGAATCAATTTCATTTGAAATTATTTTTTTAGTTTTTCTACTAGGGTTGCCAGAAAAAAGTAAACAATGATATGATACCATTTAGTTACTTTTGCAGCTCTATCTAAATTTAGCAACCAGGTAATTTCACACTTAACACGAAACTGAAATACGAGCGTAACCATCTTGTTGTTGATCGAAACACAGAACTGAGAAGGAGAAACAAGTGTCTACACAATACCTTTCATTTTTTAACGCAGCTTCTTTGTCTTCTCGGCAGAGAATTTATCTCTCAAACTACTACATAACGACCCAGAGGGAAATATCGTAGCAAAATACTCATCTCTAAATCTATAACACGTTTTCAAACTTTGCATTTTTGCTGTTTCTGAGGATTGAAATGGGTAATACAAATGTTGCAAAGTTGTTTTTGAGTTTCTGATAGTGTAACTCTAATATCAAATAAACATTTACTTTACTTGTACATGAAAAAGAGAACTGTTGCTGAGCTAGCACCATGAGCTGCTCTTGACGGTGTGTGCACTCTATGAGTTTACACTATTATTATTATCATATTGTATCAATTCTCATTTCCTTCCAATGTTAAGTATTTGTACTCTATGTACTATACATGTAGATTCCCTAATCATAAAAAAGTCTATTGACCCCCTAACAAGGCCTGGCCATGTGGATGCAACCATTATAAAATATGGGGGTGTGCACCTCTCTGCCTGTGAGGGTCTCTCCTTTGGGTAATTCCACCAACTGGCTGAAGCGCCTGTCGTAGATGCATTTGTGTAGCTGCTTGTCAAGGACCCTGAAGTCTTCATAGCACCGCTTGAGAAGCCAGACTTTGCCCTGGCTTTGCATTTTGAGGGTGAACGGGCAATCCAGGAGATCGACTGCACCCCCGTTCTGCTCCACAATGGTACGGTCGTCCGACTCTTCATGCATGGATATCTATGGTGAGATAGACAGAAAAGAGAAGTTCCATTCAAAATTCAGGGTATTTCATTCTGACATATCATACATTGTACCTCTTTTTGTGGTTAAATTTAATTCACTTTAATTATTCGATGAAGAATAATTCCATAAATCCATGAGGTTTATTTCAGCCCATATTTGGCAAAATGTAATACTCTGCGGACAGCAATGCTAAAACAGATGGTTTTTGCTAACATCAAAAGCATGAAGGACTTTATCCACTGTTTATTACAGCTGATCAAAATTTTCTCATTTTATCAAATTACGGCTTTGTCCCAGTTAAAAAAAGTGGCACAATAAACCCAGTTTTGAGGCATTACTGTCAAATGCATATCAGGGTGACAGAATTGGAATAGGCAAAATCACATTATTACATCATTTGATCATATTTGGATTTGGGCTCGAATTTAAATTCACTACTTCCTCTTTTAGTTTTTATATCAATAATGAGAACCCTACACATTTTTCTTTACAAAAAAAAAAAATCATAAATGAACTGGAGCTTGCCACCCCATACTGAATCAATAACCCTATAAAAATGAAATGTTTACATAACTGTAGCCTTGCCTTTCTGATATTTGTCACCTCTTTTGCCCCTTAAAGGTAAAGACCAGTATTGGAAACGCCCCAATTTCAAAAAATGAAATGGAAGCTCTCACTACCAATCATGTGAAAGAATATGTTTTGACTAATACATGATGATAAAAAATTTGCCGGGAAACCGCCTACTAATTCATATATTTGGTAAATTTGTTTCTCTCATGGTCTGTGAGAGATATAGGGTAGTCCCATATACATCTTTCTGTGTATAGTGCTTGTAACTTTACGAAGAATGGGCCAAATTTCTTATCATTTTGATGATTCCAGAACCTTGCAGATGCTAGATGCTAGATGATCAACCTTTTCTGATCGATTCCACAACGTTTCTTTCACAATGCAATCGCATGACCATAACTGGTTTTTACCTTTAAGCTGATAAAAGTATGACCTACCCTTACACAGACAACATTTCAAACCAACTACCCACATCATAAGCTACCTGTATGCATTCAGTGGACATATTTTGTCAAAGTGCAATTTTAAAATTTCTTCTACAATATATTTCTGAAGGGGGGTATAGGGTACAGCACATTATCAGTTTGTCATCTCAAGTGAATCCCCTATCTACTGAGCAGAAGAATACCCAAATTCAATCCCATCTGCAAAGCCTACAAAGAAACCAACTATAATTTCCCGTCGGTGTAATGAATAAGGAAACTTAAAAGGCAAATGGTGAGATGAAATACATGCAGTCATAAGGATGGTGGTTTTATCAAGAATAAACTTCACAAGGGATTTTGACCAACCTGTACGGCTCCCAGCTCGACATGATCGTAGTGGAAATGTGCGCAGTCGTTGAGTTTGGGGAAGAGACTAGACCCATCATGGCATCTGTAAACATCAAATCCAAAGATAAAGAAGTAACAGAGATGTGAAACATTTAAAGGACTGTTTATATTACATTAAAAAAAATGTCACGCAATACGGTCCTTTTGGACCATGACGTCAATACTTTTTGGACAAACCACATTGATTGAATGAATGAATGAATGCAAAGTTTACAACAGAAGAGGGAGATGGGGAAAGTGGGATCAGGTGAAAAGGAAAGAGATAGAGGAAGAGAATATGTGTATGAGAGAGACAGAGAAAGAAAGAGAGAGAGAGAGGGAGGGAGAGAGAGAGGGAGAGAGAGAGGGAGAGAAAGAGAAAGAGAGAGAGAGAGGGAGGGAGGGAGGGGGAGAGGGAGAGGGGAGAGGGATCAGGTGAAAAGGAAAGAGATAGAGGCAGAGAATATGTGTATGAGAGAGACAGAGAAAGAAAGAAAGAGAGAGAGGGAGAGGGAGAGGGAGAGGGAGAGAAAGAGAGAGGGAGGGGAGAGGGAGAGGGGGAGAGGGAGGGAGGGAGAGAGAGAGAGAGGGAGAGAGAGAAGGGGGAGAGGAGAGAGGGAGGGAGAAAGAGAGAGAGAGAGAGAGAGGGGGGGGGGGCGGGCGGAGAGGGAACAGGAGAGGGAGAAGACAAATAGAAGTTGTCAACAATCTGTTTAATGTCATTCCACTCTTTCCATCGCCAATCATTCACAAATTATCTTTCATAGTCAAAACATCAACATGTTTGGGGATGCTTTCATCATGTTATTATCTCACACACACAGTAGAGAGGCCACCATCCCAGTAGGCCTGTCCTCACTAGCTCGAGATTGCCATATATCCCGCTATTTCAACTATCTCGATCGCAATCTATCCAGCTAAATTGCGTCTTCATCAGCCCGAAGTTGCAATTAGCGGGATATTTGGTCGGGATTTTCATCCCAAGATATATTGGGATAGTTTGCAAAATATCCCGCTATTTGTCCGGTGCGTCGTCACCAGACCGAAGACTCACACTATGCGCGAATGCTGAGCAAAATATCTCGAGCTAATTTCTCAAGGTCAAGTTTCAAGTTTTGAGGTAGAATCTCGAGCTGATGAAGACGCGATTTGTAACTTTGGAATTTTTCCCCAAATCAGAATAGTGGGCTATTTGGCAATCTCGAGATGATGAAGACGCGCCCAGTGTCACGTCAGGGCCAAGTCAAGAAAGAAGAAAACATTTTGGTTGGTTTGAGCTTTACATGAACCGAAGAACAGGAAGGGGGCCTCTGGCATCATAATGGCTGCATTCTTATGACAATTCAAAAACTTAAAGGAACTTTGTTGGCATGTGCAGAAAGTGATGAATGGTTGGTATTACGTGTAGTTTTGTGATCTGATATGTCCTCTGAGTGTTGTCTGAAAATGTCACGTTCAATGGATGTTACATAGCCGAGTAATGGGTGAAAATGCAATGTGATATTTGCTAACTCATTGCACTGACTTTATACAGGTACATAGTTTAACAATCAAGCGGATAGTTAAAAATCTGAACACTTAAATCATAAATATCTCTCTAAAGAAAGGGAAATTCGAAAAACCAAAACCTGTTCCACGCTTCTATATGTAATACATGTCAAAAAAAGTATGAGAGAACCACAAGATTTCTAATGAAGTTTTGTGGATTTGGACAATGTTACTAGATCCCTTTTAAGTCAAGCTCCCAGGTTTTAAACTTTGAGGTAATCAACTTTGTGAAAGTTTAAATGTCAACAAAATACATTTACAATATCCTATTGATATGATAGAATGCCTACTTACGATGTCATCTTTTTGATCCGCACACTAGCTTGTCTTTTAAAGTTGTAGTCCTCATTGTCGTCTACAGCTAACGGCGTGAGTGGAACCTGCAAGAAATTACAAGAACATCAACATTAGCAGTTTGAATAATGTGGTAACTCTTTATCAAGAATTATTGAGGTGCACCAACACTTTTACTAGACCTACTGCTGGGAAATGTAGCAGTTTTAGTTTGAGTAGAGTTTGTTTCATGTTGAGATGACATTCAATGACCAAATCAATCTTTTCTTCCTTTAAAGTAACTGAATTGTGCCACTTATTTCTTCGCTAACGTTTATTTTTTGTTGGTACAATAATCTTTGAAAAAACTAATTTAATCTAAATTTCACAAATGCAAAGTTTTCATATTTTATAAGCAGTTTGAAAAATGTGATATTTCTATATTGAAAATTATTAGGGTGTTACAATACTTTTACTAGACCTACTACAATGAAATGTATTAGTATTAGTTTTAATTGATTTTGTTCAATACAGCTTAACATTCAGTGACCAAATGGTACTTTTTCTTCCCTCAAAATAATTTCAAAGTGCCATCTATTTCTAAGCTTGAATTTGGCATGTATACAATTGTTGTTGTTGCTGGAATAATTTTTGGAAATACATGTAATATGCAATCTAATCTAAAGTTTAACAAATGCAAAGTTTTACATAACTCTTTTAATAGTTTAATAGCTGAGTTTGAGAAATATCTGAAGCATGTTGTTCTGCAGGCCATACAATGTAAATGAAAAGTTTTGCACAAATGTAACTTTTAGGCTCTGTAAACCTTACTGAGGCGTTGTGTTATGTTCTTCATCTCCTTGTACAAGGGGCAACTAATCGATATGAAAGTACCCTTGACCCCCTTACACTAGCCCCCCTCCCCACAAAAATATGGATGCAAATGTGTGGATGTGCGTGTGTGTGTGGGGGGGGGGGATGGGGAGGGGGGAGGGGGGTTCATTTGAGGGACTAAAGTGTATCACACAGAGTTCATGATTCCTGTGACAGAGTCGAAAGACGGACTGTTAACTGATGACTTGTAACTTATGAGCAAGCGAGGGAAAGAGCTAGTATGCGAGACAGGAAACGTGTTAAATTATGACAGCTCTTTTGGGCCAGCTTGCGCGTATCATCACGGGGGTTTAGGAACCATGTTTATTCGATAACACGCCTCTATTTATAGAGACTGTGAGTAACGAGTATTATGTCTACCCGCGCACAGATTTAGAAAAAGACTTCACATCATAGTAGTGCTGTGTAGAGCGGCAACAGAAATACATGAAAAGTGTATTCATATTCATTGAAAGATTGAAAATTGGTTCCTACTTTTTTATTTAGACTCACTACGCCAGGCAGCAATGCCTCATAGAGCAACATGATGACGAAGTACGTGTATGGAAAATGTACTCATATCTATTTAAAGATTGAAAAGTTGTTCCGACTTTTAATTTAGACTCATGACTTCAAGTAGAAATGCCACGTAGACTAACAGGAAAACGAGTACGTGAACATGGAAAATGTATTCATATTTACTCAAAGATTGAAAGTTGTGAATAGTTATACATGTAAAAGTAATTTAGACTCATACTACAGGCTGTACATGCAGTATTGCAATGTAATAGGGCAATAGGACTACAAAGCTTGTGTACGGTTAGTGCATTCATATTTATTGAATTATTGTAATTATTGATGCTACCTGTTTACTTCACCAACATCTAAAGAGGTAACAATAGATGATCATGAAATACATTTTCTCAGGGTACAATTAATACTGATGCAGGACCTACAATATTCCATCATTATGCCGGTGTATCTCTGCCCTTTCTATTATTGGATACACCCCTTAACCCTACCAACTAAACTAACCCCAGAATACTCTACCTGATGTATTAACGTATGGCTCAGGACATATTCGTTCATTGATCTGCCCTTTTCTAAATCTTATTGGATACACCCTCCTTACCAGAATCCTCCTTGATCTCAATGCAGATCATCTCGTGTTACAGGTAGGCTATATATGAATGTGCTTACATCCGAATCCTGAAGCCGTAGCTATCGTTTAACGACAATTATTGCATTAGCGTTTGACCTACATCTATACCTCATGACGGTTCAACCCAAATTCTGTCTACTCACTTAAGCTGAATGAGTTGTTTAACCCTTAAAATACCACAAGCCCTGATTATAAGTGATTTAATGCATGGTCTATTGGTATAAGTGAATAAAAGGGTTACCTAACAACAGGCTTGGTTTTTATTTGATTTAAGGTAGGATTTCCTATTAGAAATAATCTTGACTGTTCAGATTATTAACTCAATGCCAATTATAAAAGAGAGTATTTTTAATCCTCCCTAGAAAATTACGAATTTACAATGGGGACACCTATAATGTACAGTAATCACTATTACCGGGTATTCCAATATCCATTTCGTTTGGAGTTGGAAAATGTTATAATTCAAGCTAAGAATTTAATAAAATTTAAGGCTTAAAAGTGAAAAAAAATTTGAGATGACATTTTAGAGAGACCCCACCGGTATGTACACGTAAAGTAAATTTATATGTACATATTTGCCTACTACTCTACCTCCCTCTCTTCCTCCCCCTCCCTCCCCTTAATCTGCCTGTCTGTCAGTCTGTCTTTTTCTCTTCATCTCTTCATCTCTCTCTCTCTCTCTTCCTGTCTTTGGTATAATCAATTAACGCGGAACGTGTCTTTAAAACCTAGATTTACACCACCTAGAGACACCTCCACAATTTTCTATCCACCCCCTCTTATAGGCCTGTCCTCATCAGCTCAAGTTTGCCAAATTAGCCGCTATTTCCAGACTCAGAATACTATACCGAAGCTCGAAATCGCGTCTTCACCAGACTGATACGCTCATCACAAACTAGCCCGGATGGGCTCAAATTAGCCCACTATTTCCCAAATAGCAGGATATTAAGGAAACAAGACCAAGATATCTCTGGATATTTTCTCGACCAAATATCCCGCTAATTGCAACTGCGGGCTGATGAGGACAAAAATTTGCTGGATAATTTGTGATCGGGATAGTTAAAATAGCGGGTTATTTGGCAAACTCAAGCTGATGAAGGCAGGCCTAATGAAGAGGAAAGTATCCCATCTATGAATCATATAGGAAATCCATGGTTTTAACTTGTTTTTCTCACTTGCTTTCGCATCCTAATTTGTCGCGCATAACACAAAAACATGTATCTCCTGGCTTTCTACACGTGTGCTATAAATATCTCTGTTGACATGTTGTTTTGAAAAACTTTGTCTGGTTTTTTAATATTTCAGTTAAGAAATTTCTGAAATATTTTGATCCAATGCAGGTGGCAAGTATAGTAGCGGATATTCAGAGGAGTGAAAAGAGATTATAATCCTCCTCCCTTGCTGTTTTATGAATGAAGAAAGAAGATTGTGCTGCTTGCCAAAAACAGCCCCCAATATCTGAATGTTGGGCTACGTGTATAGCTACTCGCGCCCTCTATATAGCAAACAATGCCTAAGTGGTGACCATTGGTCCCCCATGGTCCCCTTTTTCTTATGTTAATTGAGAGCTGATTTGATGAGATAACCACCTGTCAGTGACCATGCAGGGAGGTCTAATCCCTCCTGGCCAAAGTAGCGTAGACAGGCTGTAAGTATTGAAAATAACCGAATACAGAAATCTTGTGAAAATATACAAAAGGGGAAAAAGACTTTATGACAGTAACTTTTATTTTTCAACGAGTCTTTTGGAGAAATCAAGAAAAAGTATA